CCCCACCCGGCCGATAAATCATAGCTTTTCCCCAATAAGAGGCAAAAGAGGACATTTCTGAGGTCTCTCCATGAAATCCATTGTTAGAATCACATCCAGGCATACGAGACTGACTCGCATGGCCCGCATAGCGTGCAGAGCTTATCCTTGCTCCAGCTCCATAGCTTGTGAACAGATGAAGCGACAATCCTCGTGATAAGCATGGTCTGTTCCTAGCTCCTGGGTAGTTAATCTATCAAAGTTTACGCCTCGGTATTTCAGCATGCTTTCCCTGACAGTTTCTTGGTTCTCTTTATACCCCTCTCTCCTTTTGCCTGAGAGCAAAACGCGATTTACCAGCTTGAACTCGAACCCAGACCCTTGAATCTGCGCTTTCGTTCGGCTCGTCTTGTTCAGGCAGAATGCGATGTATTCAGGTTAAAATATTTTTATTCTTGAAGTTTGCTGTAGATTGACATTATTCACTTAGACTCAACGAGACAGGAATTGAGATCACCTCAGTTTATTTTAATATCTCCTCCGCATTGTAATTTTGCGTGAGCTGCAATTAACAACTTTACTTCAAAAATATTCCCAGCCAATTCTTTTTTGTTGCCGCAAGTGCTACTTATTTTAACAAGAGAAAGTTAATAGTTTTTAAGTGAAGTTAATGAACTCAATTAGATATTTCATGTCTCGAAAAACAAAAAATATATTGGTGTAAATCTTTCACCAGGCACGCGATCCGTAAAGAGACGCGACAACTTTGTCTCTTCTGCGCATTCTCGCTAGCGACAGGGCTATTTATGGTCTCAGGCTCTTGAGTGGTTTTGATATTAATGTCACGTATCGTGTATATTTTACTTGGCTGGGAGTAAGCTACTGGCCGCTGCGGTAAAAATCTGTTTTGTGATAAGTAAGCATTTTTTTATATCTCGCCGCTCATCGCTTTGGCTGGTAAAATTAACATACTTAGGTTTTTCCAAAGTGCTTTTCCCGGATCGCTAACTGTAGAAATAGAGCCTTCTGTTAATGCGAGCGAAAAATTAAAGCTTTTAAAAGTATTTAAAAGGTACTCATTCATTCAGCTCAATGATGAAACTAACAAAAATGACAGTGACAATGATAAAAGTAAACTGGCGATATAATTTGTGGACCTTCTAACGCGATGTTTGTACTCCAGCTTATTGTTATATTTATAAGTTTCTGAGAATAACAGGTTCCTTGCTTTCTTCCCTTTTTTATCTCTATTTTTACCAGTTAAATCGTTTAATTTTGAAAGCGTGGGTTTTTACAATGACCTAAATGCTTTTTAGCCGGTGCTATTAGCGTTAAGTTGGAAATGATGGTTTCATAATATATTGTAGCTCAAAATGCAAAACGTTAATTATTTTGAAATAACTAAAGACAATTGATAAACTCATAAAATATTGATGTCCTTTAATGGAAAAGATATAGCTATAGTTGTCAGATCTATTTACATTTAGCTTTACTTGAAGAGCACGCAAGAAAACCTAAAAATTATGTTAGTGGTAGCCAGCTGTTAAATACGTATATCTTAAGCCCGAAAAAAATGCGTAAAAAAAAAAAACCGATAGAATCTTCGTGGGAAAAAAACCACTACCACAAATACAAAATATTTGTTCCTCTAACGACAGATGAAATAACAAGCGTTGAGCCTCCCAAAATTAATCATCTCTACGTTAGTGATACTGGCAAAAAAACTAGAGGCCACCAGTGGCTTTTCTCGTAGATTTACAAGTCAGTGCTCGCGCTTATTTGGCAACCTGAATGACTATTTTTTGGCCTTGCTTGAATAAGCGTGGTTAATGAATCCTTAAAAAAATCATAAAAATACGCCCTCGCAAGAAATACTAATTTTCTTAACCATTTAATGGGTTAATTGACTGAGTTAGGAGAAAGTTAGATCATTAAAACTTTTTTTTTTCTTCGAGAAGCTTAGAGGACATAGAATAAGCTGTCACCAGATAATGCGATTACTAGATAAAACATAATTTGAAATTTTATCTCCACGCTTCTCTTCGTATTCACAGCCATTTTTTGACGTCGTTTTCCGTATGGTTACTGATTCTGACGCTTGTAATATCGCCTGATCCCTCTGGATTCCAAATGAATATCGCGTGTTACCGCGAGATCTTGCTTTGTAATGACGCGTCATGTAAGTCGAGTACGTGGGAAAGTGCCTCAGGAGGAACCCAACGCTGCGAGCCTGTATTACAAGACGCTCTTATTTCGCCAGTTGGTATATACGTACCAGCAGCTGGTAACTTGAACGTGATATGCCTAAAATAAGAAAATAAAAGAAAACCGCCATGTGGGTGGATAGGGGCGATAAAATTGGAAAAACAAATGATTTTCAGTTTCTGAAGCTTGTTTTTTTTTTTTTTTCATCAGTTTTCAAGCTTACTTCAGAAAACGGCCTTCAATTATTTTTACATGTTAAGCGTACAATCATGAATTTTCGATTATTATCAGTGCCAGAAGAAACTCCTAAAATGTTTCAATGATCGTGAAAGTAACTATGGAATTTATACCCAAACGAACGTGACCGACATATTAACTTCAACTCGAACTATAAAATAACATATTTATCATTATTTTAAAAAATGAGCTGATTCGCTGGTTTTTATCCCAGATGGACGCGATAAGTAGGAGGATAAAAGGGTTTTATTTCGTCTGCCTGCTATGTAAATTTTTTCCACAATATGTTGATGTGCTGTTTATTCATTGATATGAATTAAATTTGACTGCTTATTTCTTTCGATATAAGAGTATTATCATTTATTCTCTCCCCACCAGTCTTAAGTATTTAGAAAAAAGTGTTCTTAAGATTTGATCGGCTATGAAACTAATATAGTTTGCAGTTGACTTCTCAGCTGAATACTCAGCCTCCAGCGCCTTCTGTTAGACAGAGAAGCATCGTTCAGGTTTCTCCAAATCATTTATTTGAGGTTTTGAATTTTGTGCTGCGCACTATCTACGCTACAGTTCTTTTTGGGTCTTCTTCGAAGGGTAACCTTTTCCACGGGAAAACTGGATCAATTTAGGGTGTGGTAAGCCATTTTGCACGCGACTAAAGAACGCCCGACATGCGCTGGTTCCCCGTGCAGTGCAAGCGCACCTCGTTTCCTCGTGTTTCTGATGCATGAAAATTGAAGTTAGTGGTGAAGGCCCGTCGTGTCACAGTTGTTACTCTCTTAGCTAAAATGGATTTTTAAGGAATAAGGTGTTTGCGTTTAGTTTTATTTAAAAAGAAAAAGGAAATCATTGAGTGGCAGTGGTGGATTAGTTTAACTTTAAGGACACACATTGCAATCACTAGCCATGTAATGAAAGAAGGATATCAGTGAAATCTCGCCAAAATCTCCCTGCTCTTAAGGATAAAGTTAGATGACATCTTACATGTAACGCAGTGAAATTAGTCATTATACAGTCCGCGTGAATTTATGTGCGTGACGGACTCAAGTTACAGTATAGATCTGTAACTTCCCGGAGAGATCAACCCAGTATGTGCCAAATAAACAAGTCTAGTCGTTTTCAATGCCGCGATCCAAAATAGAGCCTACTTTTTTAAAAATTTCTGGCAGAACAATGATCCTCTTATATTTCAATCTCATTTCTGTCGAAACTCATTTGAATTTTGAACTATATGCATTCGATCTTTCAGTCCCATTTCCTTGATCGAGAGAGAGCCTTGATCGAATGTAACTAAAGCACCTTATTTCTATGGCGATCTCTTTCCTCAGCTTGGTTTTCGCAATTCCCCGAAACATTATCTAAAAAATTAAAATGAGCAAGCTTGTTCCACTTAATTAGGAACGGTGCATGGAGCGGGTAGCCATCGATCCACCAGCTAAAACAACCTGCGATATTTGCCAATGGTACAGTGCTTCACTTGAAAGTGTGGTCACACTGAACGCAAAAAGATGTGTCCTTGCATTAGTAACCGCTTACTCTCAAGATAATAAGCATACATTTCTCTTTAATTACTTGCTGTTTACACAAAATTTGGCCATCCTTAGCCCAGCAAATGACTTAAGTCTAGTATTTTACTTTCGCTTTACTCTGTTCTATCTACTGTAGTCTAAAATACTTGAAGAAAATTGAAGCAGTTGACAAGCAGCTGGCAAATTCACGTTTCATTCTCCCTGGATAGCCAACGCTTTTTACTGTTTGAAATAATCGGCACTGTCTAGTCTCTAAAAAGTCCTAAAAACCAGCTGAAGCATTGTTTAAACTGTCATGAATGCCAGACAGCGAGTCGATCAATTTTAACTGAAAGCGTCAGAAAAAAAACACCCGACTTCCCTTCAGTTTTAGAAAGAATTATTATCCATCCTTTTTTGTGACTCCCTCGTGCAGTCAGGCCAAAGTACTAAAATGAAAAAATTTGGGTAAAAGAGGAAACGCCAGATAAACAGAAGTCTCATTTTGCGGAAGTGCCCTGTGGGCGTCATACGTCTTCTCTTGAAATTCCCTGCCGCCGGAAGGCTGAAAGCGGGACATTGTTAGTTTATGACTGCTGGTCAGCTAAAGGCTGTATATTAAATAAGTCTATTTCAGTCTTTGTTGCCGAAAATGGCTGTTCCTAAAAAACTATTTTGAAACGTTTTTTTTTTTGCGATCCAATGTTTAGACTACACCTGATGTTGGGAAATGTCTCATGTCGATCTGTAGGCAAATGGACTTTCATTCCCATTAAAAAAGACCCGAGACGAGGCGATTCATCGAAAGCCTCAGAGTGAGCTCTTTCCGCCATTTGACAATGATAGAAAACTCAATTACTGTAGACCTTTGAATAAGCAAGGATCGGGTTTTTATCATAAGCGTGCGTCAAACAAAACCATAAAGGCGAAGGACCTTCAGTAAAATGCTTTCATACCATCTTTGTAATTATAAAAACTGAAAGAAAAACCACGATCGAGGAAGTTAAATAATAAAAAAACAGCGTACTTTCAAAACGGTAGTGCATTGCGCTGTATTGGTTTCAGGAACTCTAAACCTTTGTAATAAATGGTTTATCAGACTTCCTTGGTCACACCAAATACGGGAACAGTGGCTTGGCAACTAACACCGTTTTAATGATCTTTAAAAATAACGCCTTTGGATTAGAAATATATTTGTTACAACACAGCTTGAAAGAAACCGAAACTCTGAAACTGTCAAACGAGGTAGAAAACAATAAGATATTTCGCTTTGTTGTGGTAGTCATTTTGCCTAGAGGGCCGAGGAAACGAAATTTGTGGTGAAAGCGATCGCCCGATTTTGACTCGCCATATATTATTTCCACGTGCAGATCTTCGTTTACAGGGACAATGTTCAAACAAGTGTCGAAGCTTTCATTCCCAGTCTTTAGTCAGTCAGCTGAGTATTAAAAATGGAATTTGACTCGCTCGATCACCAGCGCAACTCGTGCGTTTGAATGACATGCAAGCTGTAAGTGTCGTTTTGTTATCCCTGTGTAACAGCCGGGGTCAGTTTATGGGCAGAGGAAACACACAACTTGGAGTGATTATTAAAACTCATTAGAAACCATAGGTGACACTGACGTGAGTTGAGTCTAAGCCAGCGAAGAATAAGAGGCTTGCTGAAAATTGTCAACAAACAGGCGCGCTGAAATTTCTGATATTTCTCCTAGTTACATTTTGTTTTAGCATTTCTGCACGCTAAACGAGTTACCCCGCAAACAAAACAACAGCGGTGCTGTCCGTGTGATCTCTGAAGTTACGACCCGCCGTGGCAACGTTGCATGAACTTCGCCGATGAAAATTTCGACTTTCATGAGAGATTATTGACTGCAGTTCTCCCAATAATAGTACGTTAGTTTCTAGTTTATAAAAATTTTGGATAAATAAACCTTTTTATTCTGAAACAACCTCAGAGTCCAATAGTAGGTATTGTACAAGTTGTCTTTTCGAAGAGCAATTTTTGTTTCGAGTGCGAACAATTGCATGGGATGCTTCCGTCTGAAACAAGAGTACATGTGCGTCATATCACGAAGGCCAAGCCCAGCTAGGCTTAATGAATTGTTACAATTCTTCTAATTTCTGAGCGCATAAACCCGAGAAGGCGCAACATTTATAGCTGAAACCTTGTGATTAATTGTTCTGGCTTCATCAACATTATGCTGTCCTTTGAAAATTCTAAACCTCTGGACATGTTTTGCTACGAACTAAAGAGTTCGAAAGTTGTTTTTTTCTAGCACTTTTCATGTGCTTTGCATTTTCTGCTGAAATCCAATAAAGCGTGATATATATACGATCGCGTGCTTTGCACCCGATGATGTCAACCTGCCAAAATTAGACAAAGGTGAAAACATCAACATGGATTAAAGTGAGCATATATATCGCTCCAAGTGTCGACTTGAGAGTCAACAAGTGTCTGACGCAAATCAGCCAATCGCAAGCCGATATTTTTCTCTCCAGGTTACTCCGCGCTGTTGTTCCCGTTGTTTCCACCAATCCGATGGCGGTCATCAGATTACACGTGACCACTTGCGGGTTTTCCCAGCATGCCCCTCATTGAACCGGAATTTCGAGCATTTGGCGCCTGAAGCTTTCAGTTTTGAAGAGAGTTGTTCGTGGCATGGCGAGCACTTTATAGTTAAAGCGATGGTTATAAGTTAAAAATCAGCTTTGCAAAGCTCCAGGGACTTTGCGCGATGGCCACCAGCAAAATTGTGAATGGTATCGCAAGCCAGGCGGCCGAGGCGAAAAAGAGAATGACGAAAGAGGACGACGAAGGGTATACTCATGAAGTTTATCAATATTACGCGCAAAATTCGCGAAAATTTACGTGAAAATAATTTGTAATTTATTATCGGCGTCTCATAAGGGGTTAAGAATTTCACAGGTCTTAAATCTCGTGCTAGCCTGCTGGGTTGTAGTGTGTGTTTAAATCATTGTGACTGTGTACGTGTGTTGTTACGCTTCATGCAACTCTTTATGTGAAGTTGTTTCGAATGCGTGGCGCCGTACCACTTTCTAGCTTTCTTGTCAACTTCCCCTTCTCTTTGTCTTCCGTTCACAGCAAACTCTTCGTGGGCGGACTCAGCTACGAAACCACTAAAGGTACCTTGAATTTTTTACTTTCAATTTTTTAATTTTTTTTTCTACCAAATGTGAAAATACACATCAGAGAAAGTTGTATATTTCTTATGTCTGGGGAAACCAGGTGTCGAGGAGGTTGTTTACGACCTGCCGTTAAAACTCTTCTTCCAATTTCAGAAACTTTGACGGATTATTTTAATACTTTTGGTGAAGTTGTCGGTGTTGAAATAAAAATGGATGCATTGACGGGTCGCTCAAGGTTAGTTTTAACTTTACTTTGTATTTTTACTATTGTCAATCGAAACTTCAGCTGAGCTCATGTACTAGGCAAGTTTGTTATAATTTTAAACCGACAATGTATTCTTTTGTAGTCGAGCCCACGTGCTCGACATCTCTCAGTTTACATATATAATGTATGTAGGAATCAGCTTTACTTTTCGCGGCTTCGTGTGACAATACACGTTTTTCTTTTGTCTGGCTCTTGAAATTTCATAACGCCTCGGAGAATGGCTGCTTAAATTTTCACGAATTTGTGAAATAAAAGCAATTGACCAAATACAGTAAGGAAATAGGCGACTGATCGACGGGTTTTCTCTTTTGGTTTTAAACAATTCAAGTAAAAAGAACAGTCCTATAAAAGACCACCGGTGTCTAATGTTCGATATAAACAACCCCCTGTAGCGAAATATTTTTCGCGGTCATTTTGCAGCATAAACATTCGCACGACTTTGTAGAAGCACGCCATAAGCGCATAAGGAAATTAATGGATGATTCAAGAGGACTCGAGAAAGGCGCCAGCAATTGTTGTTTTGACTGACAGAATTTCTAAATCTATATTCTATGGCTTGCGCCTGCTGATGTTAGGCGAAACTCAGCTAAATTTACAATATGTTTGTGAACGGGAAACATATTATAAATGGTCGTTGAACTGTAAAAGTTCATTCTTAATCTTTTAATGGTGTTCTTTGCTCGCGCTTTCATGTAATTGACACTTGTCAGTGAATTCGAACTCTTATTGTTTGTTTTCTCTCATTTCAGAGGGTTCGCATTTGTACAATTTAAGGATCCGAAACAAGCAAACGCGGTACGGTGTAAACTCTATCATAACTTAGGCCATAAATAGCTCATAAAGTATGAGGTACTGTACTTTAGAATTTAGTCTTTTGCACTATTATTTTCCCTAACAATGCCTGCGTCAAGGACTCTGTTTTTAATGGCTTAAGTTTATTATCCAACTATCCGGAAAAACGGTGAGCAGGTTCATTCTTTAGACATCTGACTACCAGAGCCTCAGTGGTTATTGCTGAATGGAACATAACAACAGTATTTTTAAGTACCGACTGACCAGTCATTTCTTGACAAGATATCACACTATATATTGGGTAACAAGCTCTGTCACAGATGGTTGGAGATCTATAACCCGTTAACCAATCAGACAATTCTATTGCGGACATTATATTGCATCTTGAATGTGTTTAACAATGATTTAGCAGAATTTAGCAGAAGTTTATTCCCTCAGATGTAAAGTCTTGATCCAAACTGTAAACTGATGAATGCTAGTAAATGCAATAAAGTTCATTCATGAATACGAAAAACATTTGCCATCGTTTTCGAGGGGCAAAGTGCTATAATTGGTTGCATGACATGAGAGAAAAACAAGCTGAACTGCCATATTAATAAATATGAGGTTTTGTATTCCACATGTTCAAAGTGCACTTATTTAGATCTCGTGATGTTTTTTTTAACTTTCTTTTTCTTTGGTAAACTGTCTCAATTAAGGAGCAGGTGATGTTTTAGCTAAATTACCATAGGGCAAATTAACAAGTTGAGCCCATAAAAATAGTGTCTGTTTACCCTGTGGCTATCTAAAATGTCTTGTTGTGACTTAGGAGTGATTAAAAGTTGATTTTAATGACGAAAATTTGATGCCCACTTTTGTGATAAACAGGAAGTGCTGGCAAAGGTTGCATGATAAGGAAGTTGGTGACATGAAAAATATTGTGCTCAATACTGAATGAGACATTTCTAATCTAGTATGATTTATAACAAAGCTGTTTGTCTTTACCATTAATGCTGAGTGTGATTTTTTGTTAAGACTTGTATTTTTTTGGTTCCATCGTATAGTTTTTGAAGGGGTAATTAGAATAAGAAATCCATTGGTAAGAATCAACAGCCATGGCCCATGTATTTGTGTTGGGTAAATTGCATGTTTTTATTGGTGGTAGAAAGCAAGAACACAAATTGAAGTTCAAGTGGTGTTTTTGTATGCTGTTAACTAGAGACTGAATTTAGTTATTGAAAGGTTAACTTTCTATTCTAGTAAGTGAAGGGTCTCTTCATACAAGTTAGCTGCTTAGTTTTTAAATCTCACCCCACAGCTCCCTAATTTGGACAAATTATTGTTTATTCACGCAAGAAGGAGATTGAGCTAATGAAGCAGATTCTTATGACTAGCCTTGAAATATTCCTTTGACATGTGAACTCTGTAGGTGGATTATAGCATCGAAACTCAAATTTATGCCTTGTTCATTAGGAAACTGAGCTTAAACTTCTTTTGTTACCTGTAATTAGGCTGACATCTCTGTGTGTTGACTGAGGACTAAGATAAAGAGAGTTATTTTCGCTCTTTCATGAAAGATATTTTTGTGTCTATCGTGTGGTACTTCATTTGCTGGTAGTGATTTTTAGATGCCTTGAGAACTTAGGGCAATCAAAGTTACCACTGTAAGACTTTTAGGTTGAATTACAATTGAATGAACAAAACAAAGATGTTTATTCTAATGTATCACCTTCTCGAATTTTCGTGTTTGTCGATCTTGGAAATCCACCAAAATTTCAATGTATATGTGCTCTGATGCATGATTTAATTTATTTCAGTGATTGTATCATTTTGATTTCAAGACAATTTTGTGGAATGAAAGTGAATGATGAACTTAAAATTGCATTTAGTCTATCGTCAAATACTAAATTATCATCTTATTATCCGTCAAATTGTTATAATTTTGTGCTTGCAATTGCATGATCAGTTCCATCAAGTTAAGTACCATTGTTTTGATGGGGTGGTGTTGATCAGTTCTCAGTGTAGAAGGTTTCCTTTAGCTACTATATCAAGCTTCTTTGACATTTTGATTAATGCCTCTCTCGTGATCAAGGTTGGAATCTTGCCACTAACTTTCAGTTAGGTTACTAGTTGCTTGAGTCTTTTACTTTAGTGGTATTTAGAATTCAAATAGCCATGATATGTTTCAGCTCAAAAAATGTAATTTTCATCTGGTTTGAGATTGGGTATGGTAAGACTGAGGTGAAAGACGCCTTTCCTTAAGTCATGAAAACAATAGACGCTCCAGCTATGATAGTATTCTCAGACATATTTCTTGTTATGTTATCATTTGATGCATTTTTCTTCCTATTCAAGAGATTAAAGTCTTTGATAGCATTTCTCTACAAGAATCCAAGATCAGTTATTATCATTTTTGTATAGGAAAAAAAAGTATATATCCAAAAATGGACTCTCTCTGAAAACCACCCAACAATATTAGCAGTGTCCCAGCAACAAAAAATGTCAGCAAAAACAACCTCCAAGCTAACATATTTGTGGTTTTTATTAGATTTCAATCTTGAAGATTACCTCAGAGAAATTGCAATTAAAACTCCTAATGAAGAATCCCATGAGCTCTTGTCAGCTTATTCTGGCAGAAGAAAAAAGGGGAAAAGAGAGTTTGAAATAAATTGCATTAGCAAAAATCATTCCTCGTGATTTCTGTAGTCATTTCCGTATGTCTGGATATACTGTCTCTGTCCTTGAAAACCTCTTGACTACCCATGGAACCCTGCCAATCGGATGATCATCAGCCAGGCTAAGAAGGCAACTGTTGATCACCCTTTGGATCCTTGGAAACCCTGGAGGCCTCTGTCCAGATGCCGATAATTTGACATGTGCAGAGCAACTGCATACCATGTTTACAGGCGGACTTTATCAGATTTCTTACCAGACAAAAGTTGGTTGCTGTTAAAGTTTTCTTGCTTTTGTCTAATTGATTCATGCTGTAAAATGGTAGCGACATATTTACAACTTAACAAGTCTAGTCCATTGTGTATGATAATGTTTTTCCCAAGTTACTGCTGACAAAGTTCACTCTGCTCAGAAATGCTTTGGATCATGTATCACGTATCGCATATCCAAAGTATCAGGATTTGGACATGATGCAATGAATCCACCTTCAACAAGATCATTTGTATTAATAATCTGTTTGTGGATTTTTGTCAAGAAATGTCTTTTTTGGATTTGAAGATCCAGATTTGGATTTAAGTAAAGACATGCACTCTTGCTATGACCTGATATTGACTGTGTACAAATTTACAATTTCCTTGTGCATGATATTGTCTTGCTTTGTTTTTTGCAATCAATATTCTGCTTGTACATTGCTGTGTCCAGAGTAGAAGATTGATGTGTTAAATATAGACACTATGGCAGTGTGGAAGAGTAATATTCTTCTCAACTGCCACAGTCTTGGCAAACTGATGGAAGTTAACCCTTACTTGTTGGAATTTCAGGTCTTGCAGCATGGAGGTCCACATTTATTAGATGGGAAAACAGTAAGTCTACCTAAAAGCTTTGAACAAAGCTGTGGTTACTCATTGTCATTTTCAATTGTACATCAAGGAGGTGTTTATCGAAATGCCAAGATATTAATAAACAAACTCTCCCACTGCTTCTCTTTTGGGAGGGTTGTGGGGTGGAGGGACAGAAAAAAAGATGAACAATGTAGCAAAAATCACAGATTAGATTAAGTTTGCAATGTCACATTCTGGGACAATAAATCTGTATTATTTTCAACTTAGAGGCATTTGGTGTCCACATACATGTAGGGTGGATATGATTTAGTGAAGAAATTTGGTTTTTGATTGATGACTTCCATTGAATATTTTTGTTACTTCCCCACCAGGTTGATCCCAAGCCAGCAGCACCTATAAATAAGGTTAGTGTGTAAAGATATTAGAAACAGGGAGTGTAAACCTCCACCAGGAGAAAAACTTTACCAAATGATGCACTACTAGATGTCTTATAGAGTTGTTAAACTAACTACAAATTTTATTTGCTCAGGCTGTAACCACTTGAATGAATGTTCATCAACTTTCTTGATGGGTTCTCTCTCCCACCAACAGTTTTATAAGCAAAGTTGCTATATTTGCACTTGCTCTTAATCACCACTTACCCTTTTAAACTCTAAGAGTGACCAGAATCTAATTTCTCCTCACAGTAGTCACTCACTAAGATCATGAGAATAAAGGAAAGATCACCAGTCTAAGCAGCTTTGATTAATAAACAAACTCTCCTTGTCAGTACTAAAGGAAATGTATAGAGAAGAGTTTAGAGACTATGGATAGTGGGATGGGGAATCTTGTGAGCAGAGTAGAAGTTTTATCATTCAAATAGATCAATGCATAACACCCCCCCTACATTACATGCCACCGCAGAGAAATGTGTTAAACTGGGAAGGGACAAAAATTCTTAAGTATCCACTTCAGCTAGGAATACTATTTCTTCTCCCTGATGTTGTCCCCCTCCATGGTACTCTGATGATATGGGGTGAATTTGTGTGTGATCCTATTATTATAATTATAGTAATTGCAATTGAAGCCTTCCCTAACATAGTGATCTTCAATTTTCAGCCACCTCATTTGAGAGTAAAGAAAATATTTGTGGGAGGACTAAAACCAGAGACCACTGATCAACAGATTAGAGACTATTTTGGATCAACTTATGCACCGGTAAGGATGTAGGGCAAGGAGATTGATCAATTGGTCCATCTGGCACAAGCAGACTTCTCTTTTGAGAAATATGACAACTTCTCCTGCCCACTTGCACAATTGACAAGCCCAAGATAACTTTAGTGTCAGTAACTGTAATGGTCAGCATTCTCCCTTATTTTAAGCCAGACAGGCAGAATAAATTTTTGGACTGGTATAGCAATCCTTTCACCTGCTGATTTTTCAAGAATTTCAAGCCATTTTAGGCAGTAATAAGAGGTACTGAAGGTGGTAAATTTAGTTGGTTACCACCTGAAAAGGAGAACACTGAATATTACTAGCTCCTTTAGGGATTTTGACAACATTTCACAGAGTGAACCTGCATCTTCATGTAACAAGAATGTTGCAGATTATTTGGCTAGCTTACTGAGATAATGAAAGGGTGTGGCAGGGTTGAAAGGGGGGAGGGGTGCCTTGGCTATTTTGCTTGCATGAGGAGATGATGGTGTGAGACAGAGACAAAATTAATGGGAGCAATGCTGATGTAGTCTTAAAAAGTGTCCTGCATCAATTCTGAAGGCAGGTTACAATGAAGGGCAGTTCCAGTTAAAACATCTTGAATGTTTGGGAAACTTTCACTTGCAACAATCTTGAACTTTACACTTTAAGTTGATTGATTGTTTCTTGATTTTAGGTAAGAGACATAGAATATGTCACAGAACATTTAACCCAGAAGAGACGAGGTATGCAGTTAGATAGTTCAAGAGCATTGACTTAACCCTTTGACTCCCAAGATCTGATTGTCAATTCTCCCCTCCAGCTGTTACACATTTCCATGTAAATTAGTTTTGAGAATTTGTTGTAAGATCAAGGCAACTGATTCTACCTGATAAGTTTGAGTATTCTCATAACCTTTTTGCTGAAAAATGTACAAGTATTTTAGGAAGAAGATACATGTCAATCACTTCTGGGAGCTAAAGGGTCAACTCACTAACCCCTAAGAGTGGCCAATGTCTAATTTCTACATACAGTATCACCCCCTGAATCAAAAATTAGGGTCACAAGAATAGGAAAGTATCACCAACTAAAGAAGCTCTTGGTTGTCAAACAAATTCTCCCTGTCAACATGTCAGGAAATTGTGGAGAACATTATGGAGAATATGCCTTCTGATGTTAGGATGTAAAGTGTTAAGTGTATATTTACCCAATTGCTCCTGCCCTAAGCTAAAAACGTAAGAGTCACAAGTTATAAAAATTGTGTTAGAGATAAAGTTCTGGTTGCAAGAAAGACTAGAGATTAAATACCCCATGTGCAAGGTATTTGAATTACATGACAGGCTTTAGTACCAACAGCACAGGCTTGCTTAAAACTTGGATAACTCAGAAAGAGACCAAAAAAGTTTTCAAAAGAAAAAGGAACAAAAAAATTAAACAAATTTGTATTTGCCATGGTATTCTAATAAGCAATAGCTTAGACCACAGCATTTTTCATTACACTCTCGTTTGTCTAATGCAGTAATTTTCTTTAATCTTTTCTTTTAGGTTTCTGTTTTGTTTCCTTTGATTCAGAAGACACAGTAGACAAGATTTGTGAATTACAGTTCCATCATATTGATGGTAATAAGGTGAGCTTGCACTAGGTAAGAAGCGTTGATAATGTAAATTGTTTAGCCCATCCCAGAGTGAAGAGTGAATTTATCCATTTGTTATTTTGTGATTAAGGTTGAAGTAAAAAGAGCTCTTCCAAAAGAAGTTCAACAGCAGCAAGCTGCACTTCGTGCTGCAGTGGCAGGGAGAGGAATGATCCCAGCAATTGGTGAGCCCAGAATGTTTTCACCTTGAATTATTTGTTCTTGCATTTGATGGTCAATACTTTGGCTCTATTCTTTTTTATGTTTTCACCTTGAATTATTTGTAATTATTTGTTCTTACATTTGATTGTCAATAATTTGGCTCTATTCTTTTTTATACATTGTTTAGTGGGACAAGACTGAGCTTAGGATAGAGTGTTGTTTATAAAGTAATGTCCACTCAATTTCCACTCAGTTCCTTGCAGAAATTTTGAAATTTGTGTTTATATTATGTGAATTTTACTGTTCCATTGCAGCCACAGCTTTTGGAGTTGTGCCTGGAAGAGGAAGACCAGCTGCAGGTATAAGCAGAGGTAAGGCTTTTTACAGTGCACTGTATGTATACTCCAACCAACAGCACACAGTAATCAAAGGGTCAATATAATGGAGGAGTCATTTTCTTTTCATGACCTTGCAACATCTTATGGGCCATAGAAAAAACATGTTATATGTTCGTAACCAGCTGGCTTCTCTTTTTCTCCATACTGTTCTTTATGCACTTCTTATGGAACTGACTGAGAGAATCTAGAGAAAAATCAAGCCTTTTTTTGAGACCATCTTCTTTATTCTCATTAGCTTAGTGTTTGATTCATCAGTGATACCATAGTGAAAGATTAGGTGCTAGTAACCCTGAGGTTTATCCCTTTACACCCTTACAACAGTAGGCATATTCTCCATACTGTTCTCTATACAAGTCCTTAGGAGCTGACAAGGAGAATTGTTTAACAATCAATAGCCTCTAAAGTTGATGATCATTTCCTTTATTCTCATAACCTTGATATTCAGGGGGGTGATATTATAAGGAAAAATAAGATGTGAATCACTCTTAGAGGTCAAAGGGTTAAGGGTTAAAAAAAGCTTTGAACCTTTTTAATCTTACTCTCTGGAAGGTTATTCTATCAAATCTACGGCAATACATTTCATCTCACATTGTGGTTTTAAATTCTGGTGTTCAAGGTCCATTCCGTGCTGGTACGGCGGCTGGAACTGCTGGGCTTAGTCTCACAGCCGCTGCTGCTGCTTATAACCCTTCATATGCTGCAGCTGCCCTTTATGGAGCACTTGGCACAGGTGCAGCCTATGACACTGTCTACCCTACTTCCTATGGTGGTATACCTGGCTACCCAGGGTACTCCCCTGCAACGTTTCCCACCGCAGCCACAGGGTACCCCAGTGGGTATGAATTACATCTCGGAGCCAGCAGAGATGCACGATATCCAGGTATGCAGGGAGTTCAGAGTAAAGAAGTGTTGAATGCACAATGAAGGCATACGAATGTGTGTATTTGAATTTAACTATTTTCACTGAGGATTTTAGAACAAGTGTACAAGAAAGAAGCCCCTGATTTGATTGCTTGTCACCTTGTCTCCAGCATTGGATTTGGAAGTTGTCATTATAATTATTTTTATTAGGTCATCAATTCACTGTTGTGAAATCTGTCTTGTATTTACTTGGAAAGAAAATTAGTTATTAAGAGGTTATATTTTCAAGGTTTATTGTACATCTCTGGGATATGTTGAGTTGGAAGAACTCTACTTGGACACCCAATTAAAGAAGATTAAATGATGTTAGGGAGTTACCTGGCTTTGGAAGTTGATGTTACTTGAGGTTTCTCTCCTAAGCTGTGACCAACTCAAATTTTTTTCTGTTGATCATTTTAGGCATGTGTATGCCAGATAGGGATCACAGAGGTGCAATTAGAAAAGATTTATTTATCGGGTCGTCATCCAACCTTTAAGTTTCCCAGAGAAGTACAGCTGTATGTATACTCCAACCAACAGCACTCAGCATGAATGCTGTATTTATTCATGAATTTTATTGAGAGCCAGGAGGTCGACATTTTCATACAGAGTCTTATATTTTCTATAAAGTGAATTGAATTTGTCAAGGTCATTATTTAATGTACATTCATCAGTATTTGTTGGTTAGCTTGGGTTATTTCAGTGCACACCAGGGGCTACGTGAGCATGTACCAAGGCCTTACCTGTTAGTGCGTAATTTATGTTTGCCAGATGTTCTTTTGGTTTGGTTTTTTTTGGACCATATATTTCTTTGTTTTTTTAATTTTAGTTTAGCTGTTAGAATTTTTCTTAGTTTCTTATGAGTTATAAGGATCATCAGGGTTTTGTTTCCTTAGAAGTGAGTACAGTTGGTATTGAGATCAGTAAAAATTATTTGGATCTGACATTGAAGAACAAATGAAACTTAAACATAACTCCAACATCTGAGTCATGAAATTCTTGCATCCCAAAGTTGAAGTGATGATACCCCCCCCCCCTAGAAAGTATAGCTTTGAGTTTTGCAAATGTTTCTTTTTTGTGTTGCAATTAAGGCAATAACAAATGAATGTGTAATAGGGATAGTCTACATGGTACAAATTGAAAGAAAGTACTGATAAATGTAATGAAGAATACATCCTGTTAGGCCACTTGCATCCTGTTGGGCCATACCAGGCCAGACTAGAAACCAGTCTGTCCTGGTATGCGGAACAAATTTAGGCAGTCAATCCATATGGGAAAGCTCCCTCTGGCTGCTGAGCCTAGATTCTAGCCTGGTGGGAAGTTTCCATTTGGTTACCAATGTCAACAAGGGGCAACCTTGCAAGTTTATCCCAGTAACCAGGCCGGAATGTGCGTATAAAAATTTTCCAGCCCAGCTCCTGAGACCTTACTTAAAAACTAGTCATTTTCCTCAAATGCACATCTGAATTTGGCAAAGTGAAGATTATCTCATATACAGTACCAACGTGTATACACAAGCCCCATCTGTTTTCCTCATGTGAAGAGGCCCTCAGAGCTGGTATGTAAATTGGTTGGATAAACTGACTTCCACATAGCTAGAGGACTGTCTTGTTCATGTTTTGGTGTTGGAAGTAGTAAATCAGTGGTCAATGAAGCATTTTCATGAGAATTACAAGTATTGGTTTTTTTGCATACAAGATTTGTAACTATTTTTTGATTTGAAATAGATTTCCATTTTTCCAATTTTTTTTCTTGTTTTGCTCCTTTTGTGCCAGATTCATTTGTGTCTGACATTCAAAGAATGAATCTGTAAATGTAAATTTCCTTGGGTAACACTCTTCTTCAAACCCAAACTTTTTTAGACTTCTTGATAATGAGGTAATTGCAAGATTGTAAAGGCTTGCATTCTGGAGGGAATATTTGCTAGGAAAAGTTAGGATTTAGGGCAATTCACGTAGAGAGAGAACCACCATGCATAAAAGTCCTGTAAGCTTTCACCTTTCAAACAATACGTGCAAATGGCTCCCAATCTTTATGTCTAGAAACAAGCTGTGAAGAACTGCATCTTGTGTATCAGATTGAGTCTTTCCACACGAAATGAGCCAAAGAAGCAAACAAAGATTGTGTTTGTAGTGGAAGATATTATGTTTGGTTCTTAAGTGCCTAACAGGTGCTTTTAGTTGTGCATTATGGCTTTGCAAAACAGCAGTTAACAAATTACAAGATCATTGTTTCTCAATTTATTTCCAGAAAAGGTAACTTGTAGGCTTTTACTTTCATTGTCTATCAGCACAAGTTTTCTTGGCATGGGTCTAAACATATGAATTGTGGGCCATTTAGTACCAAAATTATCAGGAGAAAAAGTGTGTGCTGTGAACTTTAAGGAAGATTTAATGTTTGGCCAGCTACAGAGTTGATTAGTGTATAATCTACAAAAATGTACAAATCACATATTTTTCAACACAAGAAGGGTTTGTAGTCATTGGCTGAAGACAAAATGCTATCCATTCATTGTGCACATATTGTTTTAACATCAGCAGTCATTGGTCAACAAATGAGCTCTTGTTTTACCCTTGCAGTGTTGACCTCAATTTATCATGCAATGTAACTGGTCTCTCCACCAGTTGCTTTTTCAATTAAAGGTGGAGGTAAGGTGCTTTCCTTAAAACAGGTCTGTTCAACCGGGAGAATGGGTTCTTTTTGGTGTATATGAAAAGAAAGTCCACCCCTTGTGTCAGGTTTGTGCAATTCTGTATTTATTATGGCCCAAAGAATGGTGAAACTGTATGCACCATGATTGTTAATTTGTAAACTCTTGCACATTGTGTTGCACACATTTGACAAAGGGGCAAAGAAAACTGATAAGTCATACCCAAAGGATAGGTTCCCTTCCCCCAGCATCAGTTTTGTTAGATCTCTGAATCCAGGGGTTCCATTAAGATACAAGATTATCCAAGCAAGGTGTTCTGACAAACTGAGAGCATCCTTTCATTTTATTAGTGGAAGAAGGAAAGAACTTTTGCATTAGCTTAGGTTAGGACTGCAAGGGTAAAGTTAAGACGGAAAGATAATGTACGTATACAAGTCTTGCAAAGCAAGAGGGTGTTCTGTGTTGAATCATGCACAGTTTTTGTAATATTTTCCCAAAGATATTGAGATTACCCTTGCGTGTATATTTTCTTAGTATTGTGTTGTGTTCATGAAGTTCATTCTAGCTTTTAATCAAAAATGATACCTTTATTTTCCTTTGGAAAAGTGACTGATCTATTACCTTGTACAGACAATGAGATGTGTTTGGATTATATGCTGAAAGAAAAGTTAGGAAGTTTTTATTTCCAAGTGAACCATTGATTTAATTTTATTTGATATTTTTGTGAATATTGCATGTGACAAGTGGAGACAAAGTTGTCAGGCAAAACCTCTGATACATTAATCACAAAGTTGGCCTCCTTATAGTGAATCAAAAAAGATATTCTGACAGTACACTCTAAGTGGTGGATTCTACTGTTCCTTTCACTCATGCTTATTCATCGAGTTTGAAAAGCACTGTACCTTTTTATTTCTATTTGTTTGGTCTTGGTTTATCTTTGCTATGATTTTTTTTCTTAGTCTAGATTGTGTCTTAAAGAAAAACTTGATATATATTGTACTATCAGAGGCCCAAAGTATCATCAGAACGTTTTTTAGACCATTCACTGTAAAGGATAAGCTGCAAACCCTTTGAATTCCAAGATCTCACTGTGAATTTTCCTTACAGTCTGCCCTGTTATTTTTTTAGTATTGTCTCCTCTGAAAGTATGGTTCAACCAGGTGATGTATTTAGTTTCTCCAATCACCTTCAGGAATCTTCAGCAAAGTATTTTTTTTAGGAGAAATTATATATTGGTCACTTCAGTGTTGAGAAGGATTAACCTTTAAACTTTTAAAAGCAGTCATTTACTATTTTATTTTTTCAACAATTTAAAAACACCGGTCAACCAGTTTTGTAATACATCAGGTGATAATGCTTGGTTGGTCATTGGCCATTTGTAAGGAGATGTAGCCCCCAGGTCTTGGGAATTGAAGGGTTAAAAAGAATTATCAGTTCAAACCAGGGGGTATGAAGTCACTACAAAACAAAGAAGGAGAGAGGTGTCACTGTATGTGAAAAATGTACAAGCTGTGGTATATGATGCAACTTCACTGTCATAATTGTTAATCATCTTTACATGATATTACCTCTTAAGAATGAGAATTTAGTATTTGTTGATAATGGTAAATTTTTGTAGCTTGTAGTTGTACTTTTTAAGAGCATAGATAATACTGCTCAATCAGAATCCTCTTTTAAGTCCATAATTAACTTCAGAGTCAACTCTTTCAATGCTTCAGTGGCTGTTTCGTACAGTTAATGTCTTCTTTCTCTGAGTTATTGATCTGACGATGTTAACTAAGTTTAATGATAATCAAGTTTCCATTTATAGATTTGTATATTTAGAGTAATAAAATGCATGTTTTACTGTTTAGATTGCACTAAATCCCAATTAACTATATGTAGAAGTAATACCCACTGTTAGATGTAAAATGTTAGATCTCAGAACTTCATTGTTTTGCAAAGAAAAGGAAAGATGGAAACATCTTTCGGCTTTGTAGAATTGTTAGGCAAAGTTGGAAGGAGGTTGCTAGATGCAAAACTATTACATAGGTGATTAATATGCGACTAACTGGTCATTGTTAAGCTTTATAATATGTGGTATATGCATCAAATTAACAAGCTCTAGTCTTTAATTTTTTAAAATATTTGGTAGTGTGCTTTATAATCCTTAAATTCATTTAAAGAAAATAACTGTTTCCTCTGTATTCTATGTGACTTGTCAATGCAAGTAGAGGTTTCTAAAGATTGTGTAAAAGAAATTTCTTTGTAGTAACGAATAATTATTCTTTGGTAATGTTATTATACACATATATGTATGTTAATCTGAGGAGTAGCCATTGAGGAGTTTTTATCCATTATACTTAAAATGTAGTGAAAAAATTCTATGGGCACTGTTTTAAAACCTGTCATAATATCCGAATGCATTCTTAAAATCAATTTTATGGCACAATTTTGTTGAACTAGTTGATTCTAAGGGAACTGTGTTAGTGTTGCCAAATAATGCTGGGCAGCGTTTTCTTCTAAGTCGCTGACCCTTCATCACGTGACAGATGCGAGTGATCTGATTGGCTCCTTCCCGCAGCAGGGAAGTGGTGTCGTGGACACAGATGACAGTGGTGGCACTTCCTTGAGCACTTTTCGATGATATTAAAGAAGGGTGCCAGGTAAGGTGTGGCCACAGTACCACAGCCCAAAATTTATGTAAGCACCCCTTATAATCTCATAAATCATGTGCAGGAACAATTGATTGGAAAAGCAAATTTAAGGATGTCTGTGACTAATTTTTAAGGAAGCTTTTTGAGGTCATGCTGGTAATTAAAATTTATCTGCACTTAATTTAGACTATGGCCAGCCTAACGTGCTGTGTCTCGCATTAAGCAGTTGCTGCCAAGTAGATAGCTGAAAAGTAAATTAAACCCTGATTGGGTAAAAAGTGCAAGACAAAGTTTTGAAGTCTGTGTGTATTCTCACGAATGCTATGTTTAGACACTTGCATGCTAGCCACATCATCATAAGCTTAATGCGCACCTTAAAACCGTCAGGTTGGCTGTAGTTGTGCAAGTTAATGGGATTTTAATTTCCACATGGCAAGGGTACAATTGTAAGGCTAAACCACAGTTTAAAGTAATAAGCACTGTTTAAGTTAAAGGGAAGTAAATATGTAAATATTGTAAAGGTGTTAGGCTTAAGCTATCACTTGTAAGTAAATTAACACTGACATTAGCATGAAGCACTAACAAGTTAACGTAAATATTAATCTATATTTCAAAACATCTTTGTAATGTAATGTAACTGATTGTTCTGAATTGTCAATTGTGAAATAATGCCATCAGTTGTGAATATCATAAACAATGCAATATTCATAATGAACTAGATTGCTGCAAATATTCTTGTTTACAGCAATTCCTATCTCAGAAACCAGCTTTTCACTGTCTTCTTTTTTTTCTGTTCTGTTTTATTTTTTTTTTTTTTCTTCATAAGCATTGTTCAGTAGAGCTGACACACAGAGTACTAGTTTCTTTGGCAAGGTTTTAATTTGTTCTTGAGAAATATTAAAATTTGACCCTCTGTACTCTAGTGATCTTGAAGGTTTGTTCTGTATGTGATCAAATCTGTTCTTGCATGTGTTTGTTGCAGTAGTTTAAGCTGTTCCTTTTCGCCTTGCTCACTCTTTGTATTTGTAGATTCGCATACAAGTTTATTTTGCATGAAAAACCACAGGTTTCATCTTATTAGCCAAAGATTACAAAGCTGAAGGACACTTTCTTGAGACAAGCAGTCTTTTTGAGTGAACTTGTGAGGGAAAATCAACAAATAATTTTCTCTTCTCCTCCCCCTCTTTTTTTTTTTAAACTGCTTTGCTCATAGTCTTGACAATCACCAAAGGTACGCAGTTAGTATTGTGTGACACAGTTCAAGGGTTGAAGGCTTTGATTACATCTTTATACTTTTGTTTTTCTGTTGTGCTGCAGATGGTCGCCCCAGTGCCTTTGGACCAATAATGTCATACACCAGAACAACCTTCCATCCTTACGGTCGTTAGCAAAAATGTGTGACTATGGCGTGACAAGTTTTCGTCACGCAATTCATTTAATGGGTTGCTGAAAGTAACGCACAAGAATTAGAATACAAGAAATGGAGATGGTAGTTTTTTTCTCTTCACACAGTGTGAGAAAGCACGCCAACAGCAACGCCTTCAAATGAGAAGCTCACTTTTACCATTTAAATGTTGATATTGAAACATTTTAGTCACGTAAGAAAAAGTTGCACTCCATAAATACTCATCACTGAGGTTCGATATTGATAACTATATGTTATGGGCCCAAAGGCAAGCTCTGATGTATGGACATTTTGTGGTAGCTACAACCCCAGGTTAAAAAATGTAAACAGTAGGTCTAGTTTTTTTCCCCTCAAAGGGCCCCAGAAATGTTTTAGGTGAATATTGTCTATATTTTGTTTGTAACTTGTATAGTATTTATATCCATGTACATTGTTTGAGTTCTTTCCTGTCAACACCAGCCCAAATGGTGTCGTGGAGCCGCTGTTTTGATCTGTAGTGTCACAAAGTGACAAAATGTTACTTCGTTGTAATGAAAAATAGATACATTTGAATCGCCTGAAAGATCACTTCCTTTTGTGTTTTAGCAGCGATTTTGTACTGATAAAGTAGCGTAGTGTACTTGGGAATTAAGTCAAACTGGACACTGCAAAGTAATTTAGAACTATAACTAGGAAGAACTCTGTTGTCGTATCGCAGAAATATCTTTGTTAGGTTGTTGTTTTTAATACACTTCTGTTCATATGCTGTTCTTCAAGAACATTAAACTTATCGACTTGCTTTATGTTTCTTTATACCTTTTGTATGTTGCAATTTCAAAGGTGATATGTTTAGATTTCCCTTTGCATTTCACTTGGAGTTCCAAAAATGTTCGGACGACGTGATACAGTCGAAGCTGTATACGGTGGCACCGTATTAAGTGGTCACACTGGATTAAGCGGTCAGTTGTTAACATAAAATTTTTGCTCCAGAGTTTTGCGGCTTTCCGAACTGCCTGGATGTAGGGAAAGGCCGCAAACTGCCATATGCTGCTTTGAATGTTAAGGGATATCAAAGAGTTCAGCGACTGGTTTGGATGCGTTCTTGTCGCTTCTTTGTGCGTCGCGAAGGTGTTCTCGGAATCGGTCATCTAGTCGTCTTCCTATTTAACCAATGCATAACTTGCAGCCTCATGGAAGTTGCTGAAAAAAAAGAAAATACATATGAAAAAAAACGTTATTCGAACCTATTGGATGAAGGTTTTGTAATATAAGCAATAATTATGGTCGAGGTAAATTAAGTGTAGTGATGATGACGCTTACCGAGACCTTGGGTATTGCAGAAAACCTGAGAATTAATTCAAGATATTACTTAACCCCAAAAGGCAGATGTTCCTTAAAGGAATAACTTTTAAGAATCGGTAGCATGATCTAACAAGAATTTTGAACTCGAGAACACCTAGTCACCTGGGTAGCTACTTAAACAGTAGAAACAGTAGATGATGTCAATAGAACAATCTACCAAAATATATATATTTTAAATTTTTTGGAAAATGGTAGCTGTAAGCGAAATTTTCCGTTGCCATGGGGAAGCTGGTTGGCTGAGGGTAATAGGTGGTTGCTGAAGTCGAAAAAATGAATTGTATTGTCAGCGATCTGGAAAAGATAAATGTGTCTTTTCTTTCTTTCCCTACGCTTGACACATCCTTGAATATAAAGGAAAACAGTTGCTGACCCCATCGGTTTATCCCATCATCATCGGTCTATTCAGTGATCAGGGTAATTAAGTGTTAACAACTGAATTGATAACGTAAATTGGCCACCGTAAAGAGTTTAAAGGCTGACGTTTCGAGCGTTAGCCCTTTGTCAATCGCTCTGGCGAAAAGTTAACGCTCGAAACGTCAGCCTTTAATTTCTTGATGTTGGCCAATTTACGTTATCAACTCAGTTGTTAACAGTTAATAATCCTGTTATACTTTCCCACCGACGTAGCACCACAGTTTCTTTTGAAACTTACCCCCTCTATTCAGTGATTGCCTCTACCCCTTCATAATCGATCTCTTCAGTGCCTTCCTGTGTGATTGCACTGATCATCTTTCCCTCTTCATCGTCGTTCTCTTCAGCGTCTTCCTGGTCCTGTGAGTTCGCAGTCCCTTCACTGATCACCATTCCCTCTTCATCATCGTTCTCTTCAGTGTCTTCCAGTGTGTTCTCAGTCCCTTCACTGATCACCATTCCCTCTTCATCATCGTTCACTTCAGTGTCTTCCAGTGTGTTCTCAGTCCCTTCACTGATCACCATTCCCTCTTCATCATCGTTCTCTTCAGCGTCTTCCTGTTCCTGTGAGTTCACAGTCCCTTCACTGATCACCATTCCCTCTTCATCATCGTTCTCTTCAGCGTCTTCCAGTGTGTTCTCAGTCTCTTCACTGATCACCATTCCCTCTTCATCATCGTTCACTTCAGTGTCTTCCAGTGTGTTCTCAGTAAATTGCTTAGGGTTAGGGTTAGAAACTTAGTTAGGTTTGAAACTTACCCCCTTTATTCGGTGGTTGCCTCTACCCCTTCATAATCGATCTCGTCAGTGCCTTCCTGTGTGATTGCGCTGATCATCTTTCCCTCTTCATCATCGTTCTCTTCAGCGTCTTCCTGTTCCTGTGAGTTCACAGTCCCTTCACTGATCACCATTCCCTCTTCATCATCGTTCACTTCAGTGTCTTCCAGTGTGTTCTCAGTCTCTTCACTGATCACCATTCCCTCTTCATCATCGTTCTCTTCAGCGTCTTCCTGTTCCTGTGAGTTCACAGTCCCTTCACTGATCACCATTCCCTCTTCATCATCGTTCACTTCAGTGTCTTCCAGTGTGTTCTCAGTAAATTGCTTAGGGTTAGGGTTAGAAACTTAGTTAGGTTTGAAACTTACCCCCTTTATTCAGTGGTTGCCTCTACCCCTTCATAATCGATCTCTTCAGTGCCTTCCTGTGTGATTGCGCTGATCATCTTTCCCTCTTCATCGTCGTTCTCTTCAGCGTCTTCCTGGTCCTGTGAGTTCACAGTCCCTTCACTGATCACCATTCCCTCTTCATCATCGTTCACTTCAGTGTCTTCCAGTGTGTTCTCAGTCACTTCACTGATCACCATTCCCTCTTCATCTTCGTTCTCTTCAGCGTCTTCTTGTTCCTGTGAGTTCACAGTCCCTTCACTGATCACCATTCCCTCTTCATCATCGTTCTCTTCAGTGTCTTCCAGTGTGTTCTCAGTCTCTTCACTGATCACCATTCCCTCTTCATCATCGTTCTCTTCAGTGTCTTCCTGTTCCTGTGAGTTCACAGTCCCTTCACTGATCACCATTCCCTCTTCATCATCGTTCTCTTCAGTGTCTTCCAGTGTGTTCTCAGTCTCTTCACTGATCACCATTCCCTCTTCATCATCGTTCACTTCAGTGTCTTCCAGTGTGTTCTCAGTCCCTTCACTGATCACCATTCCCTCTTCATCTTCGTTCTCTTCAGCGTCTTCTTGTTCCTGTGAGTTCACAGTCCCTTCACTGATCACCATTCCCTCTTCATCATCGTTCTCTTCAGTGTCTTCCAGTGTGTTCTCAGTCTCTTCACTGATCACCATTCCCTCTTCATCATCGTTCTCTTCAGCGTCTTCCTGTTCCTGTGAGTTCACAGTCCCTTCACTGATCACCATTCCCTCTTCATCATCGTTCACTTCAGTGTCTTCCAGTGTGTTCTCAGTCCCTTCACTGATCACCATTCCCTCTTCATCATCGTTCTCTTCAGCGTCTTCCTGTTCCTGTGAGTTCACAGTCCCTTCACTGATCACCATTCCCTCTTCATCATCGTTCTCTTCAGTGTCTTCCAGTGTGTTCTGTCCCTTCACTGATCACTATTCCCTCTTCATCATCGTTCTCTTCAGCGTCTTCCTGTTCCTGTGAGTTCACAGTCCCTTCACTGATCACCATTCCCTCTTCATCATCGTTCTCTTCAGCGTCTTCCTGTTCCTCTGAGTTCAGTCCCTTCACTGATCACCATTCCCTCTTCATCATCGTTCTCTTCAGCGTCTTCCTGTTCCTGTGAGTTCACAGTCCCTTCACTGATAACCTCTCCCCCTTCATCATCGATCTCTTCAGTGCCTTCCTGTGTGATAATAATAATAATAATGACAATCTTTAATGAGGAAACTTTTTCACTAAAAAGTGGTTTACAAAAAGGACCTCGAAAATTAAAAATTAAAAATTTACAATGAATAAAAATGCTAAAAGATGCTACTAAAAACTAATGTATCTTATGTGTAATACAAAACTTAAATCAATGAATTAAAAATCTGACGCTTCAAAATATTTACATTATCAGAGGCTCGTATAGTTTTGTCCAGCGAGTTAAAATCACTTACACTGATCGCACTGATCATGTCTGTGATCGCACTGATCATGTTTCCCTTTTCATCATCGTTCTCTTCAGTGTCTTCCAGTGTGTTCTCAGTCCCATCACTGATCACCATTCCCTCTTCATCATCGTTCTCTTCAGCGTCTTCCTGTTCCTGTGAGTTCGCAGTCCCTTCACTGATCACCGGCTTTCTTCCTTCATCGTCGTACTCTTCATGATCATTTCTGTTCCTGATCGTCATTGAAGTGGTCATAGCAACCAGGGCCAACAGCATCAATACAAGTCGCAGGTTTATCTTGATCCCTGGATCATTAAAAAAAAAAATATCCGGAAAAAAACTTACTTAAGACTAAAAGGTAAAGCCTCGCGAGTTTCAGTTTGTTTCCCCTTGTTTATTAGCTCTCAGAAATTATCTCTATATCGTACTGCTTCTCCTGTTCTGCACCTAATAGTGAACGCGAGCGCAAATGGTCGAATCTGACACATCCATTCAGTTAGTGGACTGTGACAGAAGACCTACCATAGGGAGAAAAATAACATTTTCTCGCCAAAAAAAGTCTTGAGATCTACCTTCCGTAGGTTCTCCTACAACGTTATTCCCCTTTTCAGATGATAAACTTTAAAAGATGCAAGAAAAAACGTTTTGTTACCATCAATCGAGGAAACAGGTAAGGCTATGTCCTCCAGATCACGGATCCTTCCCCGAATAAGCTAATCAATATGTAAATTATGACTGGGAAATTTGTAAAGTAAGCATTAGAAGGACAAACAAATTCTCATGACGTTTCGTTTACAGAATAATTGCAATTTACTTAGCTCGGTATTGTTTGACGCGTCTGATAATGATTGGTTCGAATGAAACAATGCGAAAAAAAAGCTTTGCTGGGTATGCAGTCTTGGGTTGGAGAGCAGAGACGCCTTAAAAAGTGATTGCACAATAGCCTCTGCTACCTTGAGTCTCTGCTCAAGTCAAGTGGAGTATCAAACAAGCTTCGACATATATAAATGAACAAATCACTTGCCTCAGGTTATCTACGAGTTATTATGTGTTTTAGTTGGAATAATTTTTTTTCATGATTACCATTGCCAGCCTGTAGTGGACGACTGTTCTTCAGTAGAAATCACTGCCATGCTTTGCCATGAATTCCAATGGCTATGAAAGCCCGAAGATGGAAAATTTATTTTACGTTAACTAGGAAACTCCTTTTGCTGCACTATTTGCATGACCAAAGAGATTTGTGAAGACCGGAGTAACATCCTTAAAGTAGCTGTCTCGTAACGTAAGGTAAGTTAGCGATGACAAAGGGCTAACGCTCGACACGTCAGCGTTAAAACTCTTACCTGTGGCCAGTTTACGTTATCAACTTAGTTGATAATACTAAATTACTCTGTTATACTCTTTAGAAACTTACCCTTTATTCATTTATCCTGTAAAGTGATTTGTCCTTCTATCTAGAAAACTTGTAACAATGTGTAATTTTGCATTACAGTTACAATTTTTGGCCCGTTTGTGGTACAAGTTTTCCTCAAATGAGCAATAAAAACTGAGTATAAAAGTTTTGGTAACTTTATGGCAAAATTACGAATAATCAGTGCCTGGTGGCTTGCCCTTGGAATTTAATGAGGCGTGTTTAAGCGGATTCTATTACTAATAACGAAATCATCTTACCTCAATACAGGCAAAGGTAGTCAAATACAAGCGAGATGTTTATCCTTTAGCAACACAAATCAAAGACGACTGTAGACTGTTTGTTCTCACGTTTTAACTAAATCGGGGGTGGATTTTCCGCGTCATTGCCCTTGAATAATTATCTCTCTTTTAATGGTAAAACCAGTGTCTCACTTCGAGAAAAAAAAAAACATTTCTTCGGAATATTGCTATGCTTAGCAACATGACATCGTAAAGTTGTGTTTTGGGGATGCCTTGCTTACCTATAAATTATCGAAAACCATAAAATTGTGTTTTTTCAGTTTTCAATAACAGCGCCTGGATATGTTATAGACGATTACGGGGACAATACGTTATGTATGACAATGAATGGGTTTAGTAAAACCAAAAAAACACCTTTTTAAAGGGACAGTTCTTGAACTTATCGCGATGACAAGTTCAAAATGATGTCTGCCTGACCTCTAAATAATTTTTTATTTCATCTACTCTAGTTAGAAACGGACTTCTGCACTTTTATTTCAGTGATTGATACTGAGGAACCCCTTATTATTATCTTTTGGGGGGTAGGACAGAGGATTTTCGTTGTGTATCTATAAAATTTAGCTGATACCCCCCTAGGGCTCTGCGATATTCCTATGATCTCTCCCACCCCCCCCCCCTCTTTGGCAGTTACGTGGCGGTCAATTTTCTATATTCTCTGACGACTGATCCCCTCTGTTCCCGTTCCCTGAAAACAATTTGATGTCCCCCAAAATCATCGCCCACCCCGTCCCGGTGATGAATAATGAATTGGCTTTAATTGAGTTTTAAGGCCAAAGCAATGAACTTTCTTGTTCAGACGCCGAATGAAGATGGCTTAGCCCAGCTGTGAACCATGCATTGTTTGTCTGGACATCAGAGATTAAGGCGAATCCACCGACGGATCCAGGGTAGGCCCCAGGGGTCTGGAAATCTTCCTCACCCCCATCAGAAGTGTAAGGGTTTTTTTTTTACTGCCCTCTAACGCCAAATATTTGCAACGAAAGAATTGCATGTTATTACTCATTAAAACTCAATATGAAGGATTTTAAGTCTTCTTGTATTGAACCATTTCTTACTGGCTTATTTAAGATCTAGAGTGAAAAGAAAATTAGTTCACGTACAGAACAGAACAATGTATTTGATACAATCAGTTTAATTTTTCTAGTATATGCTCAGAAATATGATTTGTTCACGTTGGTAATACACCATACTTTTTCTCAAAGACGACCTCTACTGTTTTTTCCCCGAAGTTCACTTTTGGATGACTTCTCATTTTTAATCAATTTTTCGATTACGTTAAATAGTTCTAAGTTGTCTTGAGAACTTTTATTGGATGGTTAATCAGGAGTTTTCAATAGCTCAGAGCAAAGAGGTAAGGATTGAAAACATCCAGTGTTCTCTATAATCCTTCACAAAATTCAGATGCAAATTCTGAGGCCCGTTTTGGACTAATTTATGTACAAAGGCCCCACGGCTCAAGTCATCACGATTATTTTTACAATGTATTGTTTATGTATACCAATCTGAGATACAAACACTCAACCGAACACAAAAGACTTATAAAATTACCATTGTTCAGAAGAGGTGACACTTGTCTACAATTTGTTAACGTTTTTAATTCCTTGTAAACACAAATATGGGCTAGTTCAATCGTCGTGCTTCTGCCGTGTCGAACTTATTTGGAAATTTGGTTCGAACTAAGAGATCGAGTTAGAGTCGTACGAAATTCAGGATGAAGTGAACTAACAATTCATTTTAACAACTTCCCGTGAGAGCGCCATCCCACCAAAAATACATTAGTATAATTTATGAATTTTGTTTGGCGCGGCAGAGAGTCGTGCAGCATTGCGGGGCTTGCAAGGCCCTGTTCAGTCGTGGTGCTTCTGCCGTGTCGAACTTAATTACAATTAGGTTCAACGTAAGAAATCGGGTGAGAGTCGTACGAAATTCAGGATTATATGAAGTAACAGTTCATTCTCATAACTTCCCGTAAGAGCGCCATCCCATCAAAAATATATTAGCATAATTTATGAATTTTGTTTGGCGCGGCAAAGATACGACGTTTGATTGCTGTCGCGCCAGAGTCGTGTAGCACGGCAGGGCTGGCCGAACTTTATTACTTCCCGAACCTAATTTGTAAGTTTAATTTAGACGCCGTACTTCTGGTGTGCTTTTCTCGATCTTGGCGGTCCTTGTGATCTCTTTTTAGCGCCAATTTCATGGGCCTGTCGAGTGGAGTTAATCTTAGAAGGTCTCATTGGGGTTTAACCGTCAGCCGACAAGGGGCTTTATACAAAAATACAAATCAATGTTAATTGTCGAACGGTTTAAAGAACCTCCGAGCTCATTTAAGCCACTTGTTAGAAACAGTTTTGGATCGGCAAGAATCTCCAGAAAAACTTGTCCAGGGGCAAAGCTACCTGTACGCACGATACGCACGTGCCTTTCTAAAAAAGTCGAAAGTTGAAAAATAAAATAAAAAAGTGAAAAATAAGAAAAACAATGGTAAAAAAAACACACATTTATAAATTAGTCTGAGATACTATAAGCTTGATGGCTTATAAATGATTAGCGATTGTCTTTGAGGTGCTGCAGTCCATGAAAAAGGCAACAAAAAATTAGTTGTTATTTGATATACAGTAAAAACGCCAGGTTTACAACGTAACCTCGCCTTTAATCAAGTCACCTGAAGAACACTTGGGACTTGGGGACAGAGGTGGGGGGCATTTGGAAAATTATGCGTACCTCTGGAAAAATCCTGACTTCGCTCCTGTAATCTCCAGATTTCCAAAAATGTTTGGTTTATCGCTCTAAATCGTTTTTTTTTTACTAATATTTGGATATTTCACAAAATATTTTGTTATTGAAAAATAGCTGAATTCATTGATGACTTGTCTTTGTAGAGGGTCCCCAATAAGGTTCTTCAATTCCGCGATCCCCACTAAAATTTTCACCAAAATAATGATACCGTCCATTTAAGAAGTTTTTAGGAGTGTGTCCACGAGAACACCAGGCAGTCGTGCTACGTGCCATCTCACTGATTTCAATTAAACTTTGTCAGTTTAAACGGTCTACCCCAGTCCTTCAGCAAACTAATCGTAGAAACTGGTGGTTATCAACGCGTACAGATCTCTGAACGCGGGTCGTCGCAAAAAGTATACTCAATCCGTCACAGACAGAACAAGAAAGCGAGATATTCATGTTAAGAGGAAGGATGTATTAAGACTTTTCAGTCATTCACTGTCATCTGGGCCGAGAGCACCTTAACATAGGCAAACAATGATGATGAGATCAAGAAGAAATGAACGGAGGCTTTCCTTTCTGTAGGAGTTGGCTACGTTCAAGGTCGGACCTCAGGCAAAATTCTGACAAACAATCCGTAACTAGCTGGCCAGGTGGATCTTGAATGGGCTCTTTGGGAAACACAAAAAGCAGCCGCCTTTTATCAGAAAGCAAAGAACTCTCTCTTAGACGTGTGCTGGACAGGGGACGAAACTACTAAGGCAACCGCCTCTAATGTGGCTTTCCAAATATTGAGTTTGAGAGACGACACCGGCCAGAAA